CCTTCACCCACTTTTCGATTGTCTGTCCCCCAGGGAGGAGGTCACATATAGTTCCTTGTAATCGGTTCCCTCTTTCCTACCCACTCTCCCTTTACTCTCCCTGCTTCGTTAGGACACATTTGATCCTAACACCCTGAAGAGAAAGAACAGACTCTTGCAACCCAGCTTGGCCTCAGTATAAATTAGACAAAGGGGAAATATGGCCTGAAAATGGTAGTCTAAGTCATGATACCATTTTACAGCTTGGCTTGTTTTGCAAAAGGCAAGACATGGACAGAGGTCCCTTACATGCAGGCTTTCATGGCTGTGTGGAAATGCTCCCCAACTGTGTCCGAATTGGAAAATTGACACTGCTTTCTTGCAGACTTTGGGGAAAAAATAACTCAGGACCTGAGTGCAAAAACCTGTTCCCAATTCCCCGCTGTGGGACCCCAGGAACCGACGATTCGTTTAGCCCCTGTGTTGACAGTGCCTAACCCTGAACCTTTAAGGCAGTAAGGCCGGTACAGTCCAAACCACGGCTCCAGGCCAGGTACCCTCAGCCTTTTCCTTTATGAGAAACCCAGGGCCAGGTGGCTTGGTCCTCGTGCATGCAGGACTTAATAAGCATTAAAGATAAATGAGGGGGTTTTACAGTTGACCCCAGCAAGTTCATTCAGGAATGGAGAAAGATGACTCATGTCTGACTTGTCTTGAAAGGATATTAACCTAAACTTTCAAAAAGTTTGGTAACCACTTCTGAGAGTGACGGTGTTAGTGGAAAGGCCTTGGCATATTCCAATGATATGTATATTCAAAATGGTAATGATCCACCAGGAACAGAAGCAACACCTAATAATACTGCTCCCCACTGGGAGGATGACTCAAGAGAAGGGATGTGGTCATGTGCTCTTTCATCTTTCACAAGGAAGGAAGGAATTTCAGCAGAAGGAGATGAACTATAACAAACTAGTGATCATTGACCAAAGGCTTCATGAGAATTCAACTAGATAGATGCCCGGGAGAGGTGCTAATAAAGCATACAGACTTAGACCCTGAGAATCTCACAGGACAGTGTTAAAAAAAAGGTAAGTTTATAACTCAGGAGGCCCTAGACATCAGGAAGAAATGATGAAAGTTAGGAATGGATCCTTGACCCCCATGGAAGATTCATTAAAAGTAGCTTTCCCGATAAATTGTTTTAACGGAAGTCAAGAATACTCACCTGGCAATGTTGTGGGTAGAGAAAAATATGGAGCTCAAGGAAGCAAAAATGGCTAAAGGCACCACTGAAGGGAGGTTTGTACAGCTCCGTGAGCGTGTTCCATAATCGAGGCATAGAGGAGGAGGAGAGGGCCCTGGAAACGGAGAAATGAGAGGAGAAAAGGCAGGCTCAGTTAAAAGCTGCACTACAGAGACAAAGGCTCCAAAGTTTGCTGAAGGGAACACGCAGGGGCACTTCCAATGGGGGAGGCCCAGACACTGGAAGCAGGAATGCCTTGGAGGGACCTCGGGTCTGCAACCTCCAATACTGTGGCCTAGAACTGATGGAGGCCTACGCTCTGGTCCGCTGATACATCCGCATCGATGGGACAGAGTCTGTGGTAAGCCTTGAAGTAGCTGGAAGGCCTGTTAATTTCCTGTTAGACACGGGAGCCACATTTTCAGTACGGACCCGTATAGAGGGCCTGTCCCCTCGTAAAATACCACGATTCTAGGCGTGGATGCCACATCTCAGCAAGATAGTTTACTCCTTCTCTTAGTTGCCATGGAGAGCCACCGCTTTTATGCACCCCTTTTTAGTTAGGCCTGAAGGCATTCTAAGCAAAATTAGCACATAAGCGATTTTCTCAGTGAACACTGAGAAACCTGCCCCTATTCTTTGTCCAAAGAGAATTGTGTTAGTTTGGGTAGACTAGAGAAACCAATTCATAAACACGCATATGAATATAAGAAAGGTTTATATACAAGAACAATTGAATATTGAGAAAACATCCCAGCCCAGTCCAGATCAAGTCCATAAGTCTAATTTTAGCCCATATGTCCGACACCAATCTATAAAGTTTTCTTCAGCCTCATGAGGTACATGCAATGATGCTGAGTGCAGGACGATCACAGGCCAATGGGTGCAGTCTTGTGTCCAGTGGCGGTAGAAGCTTCTCAGTGCTGGCAGGGCTCTACGTGGCTCCTCTAGTTCCCAGGGTTCTGGCTACATCAGGGTAAGTCCATGTGACTTCTCCTCAGAGATATCTCTTGGGGAGTCAGCCTTATCATTAGAGAGTCTCCAAGGAAGTGAGCCAAGAGAGATAGCGAGGTGTCTTCCGGCCTCAGGAGGAAATACAGAACTTCTCAGAATTCTCAGGAGAAGGCCAGGCCCACACACAGGCCTCATTGGTTGTATCTTGATTGACAGGCTAGACTCCACCCTTCACTCTTCTCAAAGTGGCAATTATATAATAACTACCACAAGAATCAAGTGAAATTAACATAGATTAAAAGGCCCAGTTTATTTTTTATTTTTTAACATTTTATTAGGGGCTCATACAACTGTTATCCCAATCCATACACACATCAATTGTGTAAAGCGCATTTGTACATCGTTTCTCAAAACATTTTCTCTCCATTTAAACCCCCGACATTAGGTCCTCATTTTTCCCCTCCCTCCCCGCTCCCCCCTCCCTCATGAGCCCTTGATAGTTTATAAATGGGTATTTTGTCATATCTTGCCCTGTCCGACATCTCCCTTCATCCACTTTTTGGTTGTCTGTCCCCCAGGGAGGAGGTCACACACAGTTCCATGTAATTGGTTCCCTCTTTTCTACCCATTCTCCCTGTACCCTCCCTGTTTTGCCACTCACACCACTGGTCCTATAGGGCTCATCCATCCTGGATTCCCTGTATTTTCAGTTCCTATCTGGACCAGTGTACCTCCTCTGGTCTAGCCAGACTTGCAAGATCGAATTCGAGTTGTGGTAGTGGGAGCGGGGAGGAAACCTTTAGGAACTAGAGGAAAGTTGTATTTCTCATCATTGTTACATCGCACCCTGACTGGCTCATTTCCTCCCCGAGACCCCTCTGCAAGGGGATCTCCAGTGGCCTACTAATGGGCTTTGGATCTCCACTCCGCACTCCCCCCATCATTCACTATGGTAAGATTTTTTGTTCTGATGATGCCTTACACCTGATCCCTTCGACACCTCAAAAGGCCCAGTTTAATACTCAAGTATAGGCAACTGGAATTCCAGGAGGGAAGGTACCTTGTGCCAAACCGGTTATGATTAGACTCAGAGATCCTACCTGTTTCCCTAACAGTACACAGTACCCCATGTGCCCAGAATTCAGAGTATTGCAAAAGGGGAATTGTTGGCCATTCCTGCTGCATCAACCGCTAGTGAGCTGTGTCTCTCCTTGCATTACTCTTATCCTGCCAGTTTGGAAAGAGGGCGGGACCTACCGGCTGGCTCAAGAATGAAGAGCAGGGAATGAGGCATTCGTTCCTACACACTCCGCGGTGCCAAACCCTTACACCGCTGCGGGTCAGTTTCCCTCCCAGACTCAGTGGTTTTCTGTCCTGAACTTAAAAGATGCCTTTCTCTGTATTCCATTAGCTTCAGCATCCCAGCCCTCTCCACGATGGGCAAGTCCTCTGCAATCAGCTCTCCACTCCCACCATCCTGAAGGTCCCAGGAATAACCAGCTGGAAACACCGTTCCAGAGGAAAAACCACCACCCTGCACAACCTGAAACTAACAAGCTAATGGTCAATAACTGGACCTGTGAGCCACTGGAAGACCTGCGAGTCCTTTAAAAGGCCAGATGAGTATGGCCTACACAATGATTATTTTCTTATTACTTTGCATTGGGCCTACAGCAACTCCGTCTTCTTTTATTGCCCCACTACAATCGACAGTTAATCTGAGCATATTTGCCAGTCCCTAGAACGAGCAGGAGAACTGCGGGCCCAAGCTGCACATGGATGGAGCGCTTGGACAGACATTTGGTTATGGGGTTCCTAGGCCCCTTGATATCTCTATTATTCTATATCTTTTTGGACCTTTGTGTTTTTATTATTTATTTATATCTGTTGTGATTTAATGCATATAACATATCATTCCATATTTCAATCCCGTCAAACAGAATCGTACAATTGTTACCACAACCAGTTTCCAACCATTCTTGTTCTACGTGGGATCCTTGACATCTCT